CATAATGATACAGCCATCATTGGCATCTACATCCTGAGGGACGACCAGCGTGTCAAGATCGTCATCAATGAAATCCCTGACCGTGTGCGTGGCTTTGAGGAGGAGTTCATCCGCCTGCTCTCCAACATCACTGGAGCCATTGTCAACACAGATGACGTGCAGGTACCCAGGGGCCCGCTTTGGGCTAGGGGGAGAGAGAGTAAAAAGGAAGCCTGACAGAACAGGCACTTGAAAAGGGGCTATGTGCCTCCTGGGTCATTTCCTAGCAGCATGGCTGAGTAAAGTTCCTCCAGATCTCTGGGCCTGTTTCCCCCTAACTAAAATGGGACTACTAATGGTCACACCTGCTCTGTTGGGCAATGTGTACTATGCTTTGACCTTAGCGATATCTAGTGATAGCTCCATGACAGGGTAGGACAGAAGGGCTCCTGGAAGAAGCTGCTCCTCCCCTCCCCACCTCGCCCCTACTGTAGTGACCATACCCCATAAAGCCTCCTCTCCTCTAGTTCCACGTGGACCAGAAGGGCCGGGTTAACTTTGCCCAGACAGAGCTGCTCATCCATGTGGTGAACCGTGACACTAACCGTATCCTTGATGTTGACCGGTAAGTGCTGGCTCTTTGTCTCATCTTGTCTCCCTCCCCACCTGCCCTGGAATCAGGAGGCACAAACAACATCAGGCCCATTGTGTAAGGGCTCCTCTTAAGAGGCAGGCAGGGTTGGAGGAGAGAACATGGTATGGGCTATTTTGGCTCTCTCAGCCTATCTGGTCTCTAAAATGGTATCTGCCACCTGTCGTGAGAGTAGCCCAGGCCCCTCATGCAAGCCAAGCTCTCTTAAGCAGGCAGGCAGGCTTTCCTCTCACAACATCAGATGGTGAACCTAGGGCCTAGAGACTAGAACATAGCAGGCTATGTGGGGGGGGGAGGGGGCGGGGGAAGAGGGTGTGACTGTGGTTGAGCCAGAGCCAAGCTGCTAGCCCTTCATCCAGAGTGATCCAGATGATAGATGAGAACAAAGAACAGCTGCGGAACCTTTTCCGGAACTACAATGTCCTGGACGTGCAGCCTGCCATCTCAGTCCGGCTGCCGGATGATATGTCTGCCCTGCAGGTACCAGGATTGCCCCCACTGCATCCCCCCATAGCTTGGGTAAGCTCTACCACAGAGCCCATCTGCTTAAACATGGCGTACTTTTTCCTGTAGATGGCAATCATCGTTCTGGCCATCCTCCTCTTCCTGGCAGCCATGCTCTTCATCCTCATGAACTGGTACTACAGGACCGTGTGAGTATGCCCACTCCTTCCCAGAGCTAGATGACCACCCTGTTCCTGGATGCTTGGGGGTAGGGAGAGATTTTAGGGCTAAGCGTCTATGATTCAAGCCCAACATCCCTCATGGAAGTCTCCGTTTCTCTGCAGACATAAAAGGAAGCTCAAGGCCATTGTAGCTGGCTCAGCAGGTGAGTGAAGGCTAGGATAGACCAGGAAAGGAAAGGCAGGGGCTCCTCCCACTCTACCTGTACACTCTCCCTGCAGGGAATCGTGGCTTCATTGACATTATGGACATGCCCAACACCAATAAGTACTCCTTCGATGGGTGAGTGGGGCCCTGAGTCTCATTAGTGGAAGCTCTGCTGGGACCCTCCTAGGAAAGAGCTCCTTGCAGCCTGGGATGCGAGCGCCCCCTGGTGGGTTGTCCACCACCTCCCACCCTTGGAACCTCCAAGAGGTTGGCTCTCCAACCTCTTCCCACTTCCCAACTGCAGAGCCAACCCAGTGTGGTTGGACCCCTTCTGCCGGAACTTGGAGTTGGCCGCCCAGGCTGAACACGAGGATGACCTGCCGGAGAACCTGAGTGAGATTGCAGACTTGTGGAACAGCCCCACCCGCACCCATGTGAGCCCAGGGCAGTGGGTGGACTGAGGGACAAAGACTCCCCTTTGGCCAAGGAGCTGGGTTCTCGGAAGGATTGTTGTTCCCTACCCGGTGGTGTGTACATAAGTGTCTACCACTGTTCCGGTTAATATCCCCTCTTCCCAGGGAACTTTTGGCCGTGAGCCAGCAGCAGTCAAGCCTGATGATGACAGGTACCTGCGGGCAGCAATCCAAGAGTATGACAACATTGCCAAGCTGGGCCAGATCATTCGCGAGGGACCCATCAAGGTGAGCCCTTCCTGCAGTCACCTACACCCAGATCCTGGCTGACACTGAACCCCACTCACAGATGCAAGGAGGTACAAACTCCAGGCTGTTAGATTAGATCTGCACTTCATGGGGGGAGAGCACCAGGGTGAACGAGCTGTAACCTGAGGTGGTCTAAGTTCAGGCATAAGCCGACATGGACTCTGGCTGGCCAGTCAGCAGGCCTAGCTCCCAGCCTCTGCACAAGGACTAGACACTATGCACCTGACTCCCACAGGGAGTGAGCGTGGGCCTGGGACAGACTCGGTGGGGGTTAACCCTCTCCCTCCTCCAGGGATCGCTGCTGAAGGTGGTCCTGGAGGATTACCTGCGGCTCAAAAAGCTCTTTGCACAGCGGATGGTGCAAAAAGCCTCCTCCTGCCACTCTTCCATCTCCGAGGTAGCGAGGTAGCCAGGGGTGGGTGGGAGCTGTGTGCTGTGCCCCACTCCTGGGGATGCTGTTGCTCTGCCATCCTTCTCTGTCTATGGAGCCCAACAGCCAGGGCCAAAGCCCTCCTTAGGTGGTGGGTGGGTCTAGGAAATCAGGAGGTTCTGACTTCTGGCCCCAGGATCTTCCCCAGAGATGGTGGGCTCAGAGGCAGTGTTTCTCAGAGTCCAGAAACTCCAAGCTATCTTTGATGAATGGTTTACTTTTAAGGAAGTGGTGAAGGACCAACCAGGCCTACATGTGTAGGCAAGGCAGTTGTGTCAACATTTACACAGTGACTTAAAAACTGATTGCCTAAGCTGGGCACAGGTGGCTCACATCTATAATCCTACTCTAGAAGCTGTGATCTGAGGATCACAGTTCAAAGCCAGTTCAGGCCAGAAAGTCCATGAGACTCTTATCTCCAATTAACTACCAGAAAACAGGAAGTGGCACTGTGGATCAAAGTTGTAGAGCACTAGCCTTGAGCAGAAAAGCACCCTGGTCCTGAGTTCAAGCCCCACAACTACAGGCTGGGAAGGTGGCTCAGTGGTAGAGCGCTTGCCTTGCATGCATGAGGCACTGGGTTCGATTCCTCAGCACCACATAAGCAAAAAGAGAAAAAAGCTGGAAGTGGCGCTGTGGCTCAAGTGGTAGAGCACTAGCCTTGAGCTGAAGAGCTGAGGGACAGTGCTCAGGCCCAGAGTTCAAGCCCCACGACCAGACCCAAAAATATAAAAAATAAACCACTTGATTTCCTCTGGGTACACAATGTCAACTGGAACTGCCAAACACAGGGCACAAAGGGCCATCTGAGTCATATCCACACCCTATGTATCTCTACCTGGCTGGAACTAAGAGTTACTCATAGGGCTGGGGCATGGCCCCAACCAAACCCAAAACTATAATACTTTCTAAGCCAACTTGGTGATAGACCTTTTTTCACAGGACATGCATGTTCCTGAGGTCACAATGACACCTTAAATATCCATGGGCCCCATCCCTGTTCAGCAGCACCTTAAGAGGCTAACAGCCTGTACAGGCAGGTTCCTTTTGTGCTAAGAATAGAAACCTATCTGATGGGACCCTGGGGCCATTCTGCTCACACTTGGGATATGGCCTTGGGCTGGGAGGTATGGGGTACCCTGAGCCACAGGGGTTCCTGGCCTCTTGCAGCTGATTCAGACTGATCTGGAAGAGGAACCTGTGGACTGCAGCCCAAACCAGGGCAGCCTGCGCTTCCGCCACAAACCACCTATGGAACTCAAGGGGCCAGATGGGATTCATGTGGTACATGGCAGCACTGGCACACTGCTAGCCACTGACCTCAGCAGCCTACCTGAGGATGACCAGAAGGGCCTGGGTCGCTCACTGGAGACGCTGACAGCCACTGAAGCCACCGCCTTGGAGCGCAATGCCCGTACAGAGTCCGCCAAATCCACACCTCTGCACAAGCTCCGAGATGTGATTATGGAGAGCCCCCTGGAGATCACGGAGCTGTGACTGATAGGTGCCTCACTGGCAGGAGGTGCTCAACCCCAGGGCGGGAGCAAGGCCAAGCCAGCTCTGCATGGACCACCTTGGTTTGGCCCTGGCAGCCTGTACAACTGTTGAGTCTTTTGCCAGACTGTCATTCAGCATCTGATCTCTACCTTCATAAGATTTGTTATTTTTTTAAGAAAACCAAACAAAATACTAAGCATCTAAGGATGAGGTAAGGAGGGTCACTGGGGGCTCAGGAGACTGAGGACCAGCTGCTGGGCTAGAGAGGGCACACAGGCCCTTGTTCCTCCTTCCACTCCACCCTGGCAAGTCCCAATCACCAAAAGGCAGGACCCTAGCACAGGAATGAGGCCCAGGCTGGCACCCCTAATGGCCAGCCAATGACTTTAAGGCCAGCTGTGCTATCACCTGTCTGAACACCCAGGTGGAGGCAGTGAAGGGCCCCTGCCCTCCACATAGACAAGGTCAACATTTCCATTTCACTGGTTTCTCCAATGTGCCCAGCTGTGAGATATGTGACTGATGGAAACTTCCCGGGTTTTGAATGTAGAGTGTTTGTGTGCTCTTTTTCCAAATTAAGTTATTCCCTCACTGTTTCCCCTGGTTTTAACTGATTCTCACTGGAAGTTTCTAGAATGGTCTGTTTAAAAAAGAACTCAAGGAACTGGAAATATACTGGCTCTGGAGAAGTACCATGCATGTACTGACGTTACGGGGACCACAAAGGGGTGAAAATAGGCAGGTTCTCCTACTGCAAGACAGTTAGGTGGCCTTTTACCCATTGTACTTTCTGCTTCTGGCCAAGAGGGGCCCCGGGGACTACTACATGTGTGAAGGGGTCACGGGCTCAGAGCCCACACTGATTCCTGACAGAAACTCAAGACCCAAATCTGTTAACAGAACTTTATTGTTAAATCACAGAAACTTTAGTAGTGCAAGACAAATGAAAATCACTAAGTCTACATAACAGCAAATGGCCATCTTGGTGGCTCAGCTTGCAGTCTCCTGGTAATCAGTGGTGGCAGGCAAAAAGCCCCAGACAGTACCACTCTGCACACTGCGGTAAACCCTCTGCTTGTTGGCCACACTGACTTGAAAAGGGCCAAAAAAACTGAAGCAGGACAGCAGCATCCAGACAGGCACGCGGGCAGCAGCCACCAGGGATCCCACATGAGAGCCAGAGTACATTCGGTACACAGGTACACTTCCCACAGAACCCCAAACAAGGCATGGACAGGAAAAAGCAGACTCAAGGGTGCTTCCAAAATACAGTGGGGGATGAATGACACTGTCTTAAAGACTGCCTGCTCTTCCGGCTCTCACCAGCACTGGAAATGCCCTCCCTGCTCCCAGCAGGTGCATGCAAGGGCAGCTAGAGACCTTGGGGCCCAGTACCTCATCCTCTGGCAGACAGGGAACACTGAAGCAGCTGTTTGTGGGCTGCCAGCACTTCCCACAAGACAGCAATGCTATTGGGGGGAAGGGTGTAAGGACTTTTTTTTTTTTTGGTAAAGTCAAATGGATATTTGTGCGTTCACTACCCCACATACACAAGTAGAAAAGGTTACAGTTTCTGTGAGATGGAAATTTTAATTCCACACGTGGCGTTTGCAATGGTCCACAGCCTGAGAGGAGAAAGAAAACTGTTTAGGCCTCACACAAGCTAAACACCTAACACCTAAAAGTGGGACCCAGCATCTTCTGAGTACCCAATACAGTATCTCACTTAGGAGTAGGATATAGAGATGCATACTATAATCCCAGCACTTAGTAGTTTAAAGCCAGCCAGACTACATGGTGAAACTCTCTCCAATAAGGGGGAGGGAAACTAGGTGCTGGTGGCTCACACCTGTAATCCTAGCTACTCAGGAGGCTGAGATCTGAGGATCACAGTTCAAAGCCAGCTGGGGCAGCAAAGTCCATGAGACTCTTTATCTATAATTAACCACCAGAAAACCAGAAGTGGCACTGTGGCTCAAAGTGGCAGAGTGCTTGCCTTGAGCTGAAGAGCTAAGGGAGAGCGCCCAGGCCCAGAGTTCAAGCCCCATGACCAACAAAAAAAAGGAGGGTGGGGGCTGAAGTCCTAGCTCAAATGGTAGCTAGAGTACTTGCCCAGCATGCGTGAGTCCTGGGACCAATCTCCAGTATTACCAAGAGCCTGTGGTCATTAGATCTTTGAGGACTCTGATCAAAGCGGCATGGGTAAAAGTCCTTTACTCTTTAGCAGATGAACACCACAGTAGCTTCAGGACCCATGCCCTGGCTAGAGAGGGACGCACAGGCACATTTTTCTCAGCAACAGAAACCAGTTCCAGGGTTGGCCTACTGCAGGGTAGGGATAATGGGTCAGGCGAGAGCCTGGCTGGAGGAAGGAGACAGGCCAGAGTAGGGACCTCTCTGCCTCTCCCTACAGTAGCCCACAGTGACTAATCAATATGTGACATGGTCACAAGAACCCCAGGGAGGAAGAGAAAACTGCATAAAGGAACATTAAACAATGAAATCAGACCCAACATCCCTATCCAGGGAAGCAGCCTGGCTAGCACTGGCAGCCACCATCTAGGACAGTGCCATGGCCCCTGCCCCTGCCCCTGCCTAGGATGGCTGGGCCAGGGCTATTTCAATTTCTAGGCCCCAGGGCAAATGTGTTGCTAAGGCACAAGAAACTGCAATGGTCTAGGCAGTTAAGTCCCACAGGCCTTGTCCACACACCCTGTCACAATAGGCCAACAACAGAGAAGCTTCACACTGAAGAATATCCTTCACCCCCTCTCTCCAGACGGCTCAGCTGGTAGAGCCCTTGCCTGGCCCCAAGTATCAATCCTCAGTAAAAAAAAAAAAAATGCCAGGCATCAGTGGCTCATGCCTGTCATCCTAGCTACTCAGGAGGCTGAGATCTAAGGATCTCAGTTCAAAGCCAACCCAGGCAGGAAAGTCCGTGGGACTCTCATCTCTAATAAACCACCAATCAAAGTGGTACTGTGGCTAAGGTAGTACCGCTGCCTTGAACTGAAGAGCTGAGGGACAGCGCCGAGGCCAAGAGTTCAAACCCCAAGACAAAAAAAATGTGGGAAGTAACTGGGCTGGGAAGGTGGCTCAGTGGTAGAGCACTTGCCTTGCATGCATGAGGCCCTGGGTTCGATTCCTCAGCACCACATAAGCAAAAAGAAAAAAGCCAGAAGTGACGCTGTGGCTCAAGTGGTAGAGCACTAGCCTTGAGCTGAAGAACTGAGGGACAGCACCCAGGCCCAGGCCCACGACTGGACTCAAAAAAAAAAAAAAAAAGTGAGAAGTGGCATTGTGGCTCAAAGTAGTAGAGCGCTAGCCTTGAACAAAAAGAGCTTATAGACAGTGTCCAGGCCCAGAGTTCAAGCCCCATGACTGACCAAAAAAAAAACTGAAACAAGAGCATGCTGGTAGCTCATGCTTGTAATTCTACCTATTCAGGAGGCTGCACTCTCAGGATTGCAGTTTAAAGCCAGCTCATGAGACACTTATCTCCACATAACTACCAAAAAGCCAGAAATTGAATTGTGGCTCAAAGTGGTAGAGTGCTAGCCTGGAGCATAAAAAGCTCAGAGTATGCCCAGGTGCTAAGTTCAGGTCTCAGATCTGGCACACACACACACAGACCATCGTTAGCCCTACCTTAATTGGGAAACCCTGAAGACCCACCTGCCTCCCTGGGTTTTCATCCCACAAAAGCAGGCAGAGAACTGAGGTCCCTACAAATAGGGTCCTGAGCAAGCCATCCTGCTGAGGACAGGCTGCAGCCTATATGCAGTTACTTACATTGCACTGGGCCGCCGTCTCCATGTTCTGGCACCAGTAGCCAGGACCCCAGACACATTTCTCAGTTCCCAAAAGAAGCTTACGAGCAGAAGAGCAGGCTCCGATTTTCTGTGTAAAAAAGGATAAAGATAAATGAAGGAGTCAAAAGTATAACTCTGTCCTGACAGGGACACTTCCAGAAGCAGGTGGAATCAGTGTTCTGACTACCAGGGGTAGAGAGAACAGTTGTTCTCTGTCCTAACTCTGCCAAGTGTGAGAGGAACCTTCCAGTCCATGCAGACCCCCAGGTTACAACTGCCTGAAGGAGCTAGGCTGCCCAGGGAGGCTTACTGTACACACGAAGGAAGGATCCATGACCTCCACAAGGATCTCCACCAGCACAGGCTCATACTCGGTCACGAACTCATCACACTGCCAAGTGAACATGGGACACAGGTCAGGACATGCACACAGCCATACAAGGCCAACAGGTGCCCAGCACACTCCTCTATCATGGTCCCTGAGGTTCCTCACCAGGGATCCCTGGGGGCTATATTCCCAGATATCCTTCTACCCACATGGCCCCCTAGCCCAATTCTTTTCCTTCCATAGCTCCATGTGAGCCAGGTCAACTCTGGGCAAAAGCTACCTGACTCCAGGCCTGGGAAAGAAGCAGCCATCTGTCCTCCCCATATTTCACAGCAGTGCACAACAGCTACAATCCGTACCTGGTTCTTGTAGGGGTCTGGCAGAAAGCTGCAGCCCTTCTCTAGTGCAGCCAGGATTTCCTCCTTGGTGCTGTTTTTCTCTAGGTTGTGCTCCAAATAGCTGATCAGCTTCTTGCACACCTCACAGAAGCCCCCTTTCTTTAGTTGAGTCACACGTGCTGTAAAAAAGGGCACAGGGCTCAGTACTGGCAGGGTCCCAAGAGGGCTGCCCCTTACTGTACTCTGGGCTCACCAGGTGATGCAGACAGTTTGGGCAGCTTAGGTGGCTGGGGCAGCCCTAGTCGACCAATCTTTCCCATCCGCTCCTTGTCAGAGGAACAGAGGTTGAGTTCCTGGCACACCAACTCCGGGCTTATCTCATGTTCCAGGATTGACCAGACAGAGGGACCATACACATCCACCATCTCATGGCACACACTGGACACAGTAGCAGGCAATAGGGAGCACGTAACATTCAAGCTTTTGAAGACTTCCTCCTGAAACACACACAAAAAGGAGCATGTAAGATGGGAGGGTAAGTATGGAAAAGATTCTAAAAACACCAGGAAACCATCCCTCACTCTATACATAGCACTGAAAACCAGGGGAGGGTTGTGGCTAAGTGGTAGAGCTCTTGCCCAGCACATGGTTTCGATCCCCAATCTACCCAAAAAGAAAAAAACCAGCAAGGATCATCCCAACCCTCCTGCTTCCACAGGATTCCCTGGGGTGGGGTGGTGGGGGGTGAGGACAGGCCTTCCTCTGAGGACAACATACCTCAGTGATGTTGTTCTCAATCAACTTGTCCATCTGCTTCACCACAAATTCACAAGCCTTGCAGAATACACCAGCCTGGGCCTGGATCAGCTCCTCCTATGAGGATGGGGTGGGGCAGTTTAATATTGGGACTGGTATGTTAGTGGGCTAAGGGCCACTGCCCAGTGAATTCACAATGACATACAGCTTCCTTTGGGTGTGATTTCCAACTTCATTACACAGTGGAAGGTCCATCCCTTTTTCCAGTCTTCCATTATCACCACTTCTCTTGCCCCTCCCACACACACAAAGAGAGAGAGAGAGAAAGAAAGAAAGAAACAAAGGAAAAGAAAAGAAAGAGGAGGAATTCCTACCTCAGGCCCTCCCTACCATGAAAGGATGACCACATGCATCCAGTTATAATCATTTGGTCATTCCATGTTGGAATTGGGAAGGTGGACAGTGAAGCAGGACCAGAACCAGAATGAGAAATTCAGTATCTATCTGCTTCCTCTATTTCTTTTTTGTTTGTTTGAACTCAGGACCTGGAGCTTGCTAGGCTGGTGTTCTACCACTTGAGCCACATCTCCAGCTCAGTATCTACTTTTTTTTAAGTCAGGGGTTTGCTCTGGACTTTCCAAAGTCTCATTAACATCTGAGATTGTCACTCTAGATTCTCCCTTAATAAAGCAATCAGGTTGAGGAAAACCTTCTGTAAAGCCAAGCATTCTCTACCTCCACTAACCAGCACAACAGGTCCAGCTCCATGTGCACTTGAAATGTGGCTGTGTCACCAAGGATCTCAAGTTTTAATACTGCTTAACTTAAATTGATGTAGTCACACATGACTAAGAAATACAACCATGAACTGGATGAGCAGGGTGGCACCTCCTGGGGGGAGAAGGCCCTGCTTCCTGACTTTAGGTACACAACCCTACCTGTGGCCACACATACTAAGCAGAGGAGCAAGCACAGGGAGACAGCTGATAGCCCGATGCAAAGGACATTCTTGAAGCATATGTATTTCATGTGTAGTGTGAGGAGGCCAGGGCCTCCTGAGAAGGCAGAATGCCTTCATTTACTCCCCACAACCCTAGGACAGTGCCTGGCCCAAAAAGGTACTAAACACAGGTCTATTACAGAATAGAGTAGATCTTTACCAAAAGGGGTGCTAAAGGAACAAATCTACATGCACAAAAAGGCACAGGTCCAATGAGACTTCCAGCCCTGGGGACAACATCCTGGGTCTGTCCTGTGGCTACAGAAGCCAAAGGACTCTGGAAAGGGAAAAGGGGAGGATGGAGCTGGGCACTGAAATAAGTTTGCTCCCCTCAGAACTAGGGCATGTTAACTGTAAAATAGCTGGGGAGGGGGCTGTGTCATTACCAGGAAATATCCATTCTATACCTAGAGTAATCTCAAACACAAAATGTGTGAGCTCCAAAAACAGTGTCAAGCAGAATGTCACACAATCCCCACCTGTACACAATGGCATACGTACCTCAACAGTCTCCACCAGTTCCAGGGCAGGAAGGACACTCTCAGCAGCCACTTTGGCAGGGATCAATGTCTGCATGGGCACTGCCTTGACCTCATCACAGAAGCCAACCAGTACACAAATCTCCTTGGGTTGCTGAAAAGAGCACAGAACCATCAGACACAGCCTGCACCTACTGCCTCAGGCCTCTGGCTAGACAGGGTACAGAGCACCCTGACCAGTGTCAAGGCTACCTCCTCCCACCCACTGGCAGGGACTCTAGATTCAACTTAAAAGGGCTCGTGTCCAAAAGCAGGTTACATGCGCCAGCTCCATCTGGAGAAGGTAGCCTTCAGGCAGAGCCAAGAGTGGCCATGGCTGTTCTAACCAAGAACAGAATTTCTAGCACCTTGTAACACTCCCTCCCCCCAGACACTCAAGCTGCTCAGCTCATTCTAAGTTAAAGTAAACTTAAGGGGACCTACTGTATACATAAACAGAAAGCCCAAGGCAGTAGAAATACAACCATATTGGATCTTTTGGTGGTAAAGCCATTTAAAATTATGTATTATGGGGAAAATGCTGGCTTTTTTTCTATAAGCCTCATTCAGTGTTCACAACTATACATATGAAAGCCCAACCCCTAACTCGTGAATCATCTCAGTTCACAAGGTCTTCAAACTGATGTCCTCTGCTGTCTAGACAGCCCCATCACAGAGGATGAGAGCTAGGACATATGCATGGTATGAATGCAGGCCTGGAAGTCTGCCTCCCTCCAACAAGCTTGCAAGGAGCATAGCAGGCCTGTCTGGAGGCAGGCAAGCTAGACCATGGCAGTATCTGCCTTGTGCCACCAAAGGCGGCTAGAACAGTTAAGACGGGTGCAGGGAAAGGGGCATCCTGTCTTTGGCACATTTTAAAATATGGAGAAGAATTAGAATGAGGCTAAAGATACAGCAAGATTTTTAGAAAAAAAAGATGCCAAGGATTCAGGAGGCTTTGTTCTGACTCCCCGAAGTGGCCTAGGTTAAAAACCAGACATTTCAAGTTCTCTCCCATGAGACCTCAAAACCCAGATAGATACCAACTCAAAAGGAGCTCGAAAAAAACTGATGGCTCAGCCAGTATGGACTGAGGTATGGTCCCCACAGAGTGCCAGCCACTGTAGTTCCAGATCCCAAAGGAGCCATCACCCAGAGAGCGGAAGCTACAATCAAGAGACTGTTTCCAGTTCTCTGGATCAGCAGCCATAATCTGCAGGCTGTCTGCATCCAGTTTGCTCATGCAGCAGAAGCATTTCTGGAGTTACAAACCCAGCAATGATGTCATGCACTGCCCACACACATTATGACAGACACAAGGTGCTGTACTAGAGCCAGGCCTCCACTGGAAGAAGCTGAACTGCCTCGGGGCCACCTGGGTCCCCATTCTCACTGGTGATCCAAACATGGGCTTGCCATGTGAACAGAGGACAAGGCTCTGCTGACTTCTATTTGCCCCTCTCAGAAGGGGAGAAGGGCCCCTGATACCTAAGTGCTAGATCTTAAGGGAAGGATGCCTAGACCAAGGGGAACCTTTGCCTTTCACAATCATTCCTTGTATCTGTCAGAGATGACCATGCCAGACACCACCCCCAAAAAAGGAAAGAAAAAAAAAAAAAAAGCAGGTAACTAGAAGCAGCAAATCACTACAAGCAAATTCTCTGTAACATACCTGATCCTGCTGTTCAACAAAAAAACAGGAAATCGGAGGTGAAAATAAAGAGAAAGGAAAGGACACAACAGTTAAGAAAAATTAAAACAGTCAGTTAACCAGGTGTACAGATGCCACAAAGTCTAAGGGACACCCTGGCAGTCTGCTGGCAGCAACCTACCTTGCTCCTCTAGCTTGCGGTGCCCCAAAAGCCACTTGGGCCCTCAAGGGGTAGGTAGACCCCACTGCCCAACTAGTGTGTACACTATCCCTACATCCAGCACTAAACCATGATCAGAAATTGCAGTGATGCCAGCCCTGAAGCCTAATCCCTACCCAACCTTCCCAAAGCACAGTCATGGGGCTGCCACAGCAAATCATCACTCTCCACTGCCCTCCATCTTGTGTTTCCATTAGGAATAGCAGCTTTGGTGAGCCTCACTAAGGGAAGCCAGGGATGGGTACAGATAAGTGGCTATGAGGACATTCATCACTCCAAGGGCAAACCTGAAAACAGCATCAACACTTAGCCACCAGGGACTGGTCACATTCCATGGACAAGAATTTTTTAGGGGAATATGCAATTAAAGTACAAACTCATACATAAACAAAGGCTTCCATTGATGGGTTTCAAAAACCCATGATTTCCAAATGATTTGAAATTATCAAAAACTTGCTACATAGTATACTATGAAGAGAAAAATTTTAAGTTAGTTCTGAAGAAGCACTTCACTAGGTCACTTCACACCAAAGGCTTCCTTCTACCTGCTTCAGGTGCATGTCTTTGTTAACAGACTTTACATGTTTTTACAAGGCAGAGCATGAGCGATAGTCCCAAATAAGCCACCGCTCCAGGAAAGTCTACTAGAACAGGCAGAGGTAACTCTTGCCAGGCTCTGCAGACCATCAGGCCTAGGTTGCTGAGGAAGCACAAAGTGGGGGCTACTGGGTTCCAACAAAACTATCTACAAAGCAGGTAGGTAGTAAGCTTTGTAAACCTCTATGAAAGACTGACTCAAGGGCTGGGAAGGTGGCTCAATGGTAGAGTGCATGCCTTGCATGCCAGAGGCCCTGGGTTCGATTCCTCAGCACCACATAAGCAAAAAGAAAAAAGCTGGAAGTGGCGCTCTGGCTCAAGTGGTAGAGCGCTAGCCTTGAGCTGAAGAGCTCAGGGACAACGCCCAGGCCCAGAGTTCAGGCCCCACGACTGGACCCCCGCCCCCCAAAAAAAAAAGAAATGTGCTGACCAGGAATGTGGCTTAGTGGTAGAGTGCGTGAAGCATTGGCTTCAATTCTTCAATAAACAGAAAAGGCCAGAAGTGGTGCTGTGGCTCAAGTGGTAGAGTGCTAGCCTTAAGCAAAAGAAGCTCAGAGACAGTGCCCAGGCCCTGAGTTCAAGCCCCAAGACTGGCATTAAAAAAAAAAGTACAACTTTGTTGTCTAAATTCATACCGCTCAGTATATGGAAGAGTACAAAAAATGATAACCTTTGTGCCTAGCCACATAGCACAGCAGCTCCCTCTGCTCATCACCAGCTCTTCCTTCAAGGAAGATGAACCTCATTTAGGGGTAAAAAAAAGGGCCAGGGGCTCTAAGCTACAGCCACATCACCCAACAAGCTAATGCTGTTAACTGGTGTCAAGGACCTTCCACACAGTATACAAGCTGTCACCTCCTATAGTGACTCACCCCTGTACTACCTCATAGACATTTCCACCTTTTCCTAATGCTACTCCACCGAACAACCTGCTCCCCTCTATTTCAACTTGCACAAGTAAGAGACCTGGAAGACATCCCACTCTCCACAAGTAAGGTCAGTGCATTCACCCTTCAGCCATCTCCACCACAACCTTCTGGGCAACCCACTTATGTCCCCACCACAGCTCCCTTTAGAAAAAGCACCACTGGGCATGTGTTCCAAGGGCTCCAGCTGCACTTGCAACCCTTAAGCCTGGCCCCAGAGGCCTTGTATGATGGGCTTTTCCACACCAAACCTTGGTCCTGTCTCAAGACAGTTTCTCAAACATTCCCCTTCCTCAGGGTCTTTCAAAGTTGGCTCTTCATTCACTGCCAAAACACTCTGGCACACGGCTTGGGTATAGTACATACTTAGTGAGTTACTTAATTCTATGTAGAAATCAAACTCTATCGTGCTCAAAGCATCTGTTAAAGACCTGACATGAGTTATCCACCATGAACACACTTTTCATTTCAATTATCCTGCTTTGGGCTGGAGGCACTGAGAAGAAGAGCCTGTTTGCCCCGTCCCCTCTTACTATTTCCTGTTTAATCAGATCCAAGATGACAGGGAGGTAAGACTCAACGGTCTCTTTGCATTTAGATGAGAAGTTGGGGTTAGGAAGCCAGTCACACATCTTCTCCAGGTAACCAAGGATCTCCTCCTGCAAGGAAGTACAAGGCAAAGTTCAGAACTGAAGGCAAGGAGCCCTTAATAACTCCAGAACAGAGAAGCTTGAAAACAGCCAACCCTCAGGGAAAAGGATGGTAGAGAGCCATCACTTCCCTATGGCTCCATCAGCTCAACAAGTAAAAGCAGACTCTCCTTTCACCCATAGTCTGAGGTACAGTGAACTCTGATATTGCCAAACCGATAGCCACACACTAATGTAGATGAAATCTCAACTATATTTAATATTTAGTCCAGAGGCCAGCAAAATAGGACCTTCATGCTCTTTCTTATACAGCCTGGAGAATAGTGTTTACTTTTTGTCATTTGTGGGGCCTGAACTCTGGGCCTGGGTGCTGTCCCTCAGCTCTTCAAATCAAGGCTAGTGTTCCACCAACTGAGCCACAGCACCATTTCCATTTTTTTCTGCTTATGTGGTGCTGAGAAGCCAAACCCAGGGCCTCATGCATGCAAGGCAAGCACTCTACCATTCAGCCACCTTCCCTGCCCTAGTGTTTACATTTTTAAAAGTGTTTTTTTTTTTTTAAATGACTGTAGCCAGGTGCCAGTGGCTCATGTCTATAATCCTAGCTTCTCAGGAGGCTGAGATCTGAGGATCGTGGTTCAAAGCCAGCCCAGGCAGGAAAGTCTGTGAGACTCTTATCTCCAATTAACCACCAGAAAACTGGAAGTGGCACTGCAGCTCAAGTGGTAGAGTGCTTGCCTCGAGCTGAAGAGCTCAGGAACAGTGCCCAGGCCGAGTTCAAGCCCCATGACCGACCAAAAAAAAAAAAAAATACTGTGGACAGACACAATGGTGCATACCTATAGTATCAACACTCAGGAGGCTGAATAAGGAGGATTGTGAGTTTGAGGCCAGCCTGGGGCTATGGCAGATGGTAAGTAGACTGCGTGGTCTGAAATACTTCCCACTTGGCCTTTTTCAGAAATCTGCCACCCCTTGGGAATAAGCTAGTCCTATGTGGACCCCCTGGGCCACAGTTCTGTGGAACCAAAGCTCAGGCTGCCCCGACCTGTCCCCAGCAGCTCACCTCAGTGTTATTTTCTTTCAGCATATTGTCGGCTGCAGTGATAACCTGAATGCATATGTTGCATGGAAGAGAATTCTAGAAGGAAAAAACATGATGGGTAGAGATCTGGATTTGAATGACCCAATTTACACCCCACATAGCCACAAACGCCAAGCCCTTTCCCTGCACTGATGGAGTGGAAGTCAACCACAGTCACAATCTGGTGCCTGATCAGCAGGACACCAAAGGAAGGACAGGGGTGATGAGCAATAGGTAAGTGCTCAGTGCCTGTGGTTGAAATCAATTCCATATAAGTGCAGCTGTGAGCAAATAGCCATTCCTCAGGGCAGCAGGGTTCCAACGCCAGTCACCGTACTTCTACCCACACCCACTGGCACCTGATCTACCCTCTGCTCCCAACCACACCATGTAAATGGACACACACCCAGGTCAGAAACCACAGGAATTCTAGTTGGTTCTCAAAGTTCTTTGGGAGATGTGCCTAGGCTCCCTTCTTGATCTATGGATAAGGGCTAACATGTCTAGATGAGAGTTAGGGGCAGCTGTGAAATGAGTTCACAGATGAACTCAGAGAAAGTCATTCAAAACTTTATGCCAAGTCAAGGTAATCCTATGCACAGGACCATAACATAAGAGACCCAGGCAGCCTGAGACTACTGAATCAGCAAAGCCCTAAGTCCTCACTCAGCACACACTGAACTTGGAAAGAGCATGTAGTATTCAAAATGAGACAGAAAGAAAATTAAAACCTAAATCTCAAAGTTGATTTGGTCAGTGAACTGATTTCTCAGTATTTCAGAATCTATGTCTAAAAGTAGTACTATTTAAGCAACTTTTATTCTCTTACTAAAGGTGAGCTAGAGGCCACTGACAAGCTTAGAATAAAACCCCAACCTGTCAAACACAGCCTGTCCCATTTGACAACCAGCACATCACAGGGAGAACCAGGAAAAGCACCTGCACCAGTGGTTATCTTTCCCAGAGTGGTTTTAGCTAGAAACAAAATTTTAAATAGCTATTAAGCTCTCAGTCTCAGGATTTGCCTGTTGAGAAGACTAAGGAAGAACAATAAATATCAAGACTTTAAAAAAGCTTAGCATATACTACTTTGTGCAGAGTGACTCAGGCTGGGTTATGTCCATGTGCTCATACTGCAGACCCACTTGGCCTGTATCTAGGTAGGAAGGGGATCCAGAGCAGGGTTGGGGAAGCAGTGTGGGTCATACACAGCAACAAATATGGAGGCCCTCATCCAAGAGACCAATGGCCTAAGGGAATGAGTTCTTTTCTTCTCTGGGCTTCATTTACTTTGTGGTAAATTGAGCACATCCAATAACAGGTCTCGCTTGTCATACAAGGTCACCAAGGGGGGCAGAGAGCAGCAAGCAAGAGACAAGCTCTGTGAACAAGTCTAGGGAAGGCAAGGAGGGGCCTGGAGGGCCCAGGAGGGGTGCTCACCACAGTGGGCTTGCTCCAGACCATCTGCTGGCAGTGCTTCACAGCCCCACAGTCCACCGCAGTCTTCAAGTTCTGGCATAGCACTGCTGAGCCCCCAGAGCATGTTGTCAGGTCTGGGATAGGGCTGGCAAGAGCTATAAAAGGAAAACCAATCTAAGGAGGTGGCCCATTTTCCAACAAAATGGCCTACATTACTTCCCTAGGGTCAAGGACAGCAAAGTCTGTGGTAAACTACAATGCTAAAGTTGACCCCTGCCAAGAAGTTTTGCCCTTTACCAGTAATTTTGTTCTGATTTCTGATTTCACATTTTTAAGTCCCAAGGATAACCTTCTTTTCCAAAGGGGCTCACAGGACAGTGTAAATTTCCTGCAGCAGGAGAGACTGAAGCCAGACAATAGAACTTTCTGCCAGTGAACAGTAACTCAGATACCTTGAATTTTTGGTGGGGATTATCACAAAGATTAATGTGCTGAAGTACTTTATATACATTATGAAAATAGGACAACAAAACCTGTTAAAATTGTTTTAAGAAGAGGGGAGAGTCTAAAAGAGTAACGGAGATTGATGGGATACAATTGTATTCATGTATGGAAATGTCACAATGAAATCCCCTTGTACAATTAGAGTATACTAATGGGAAAAAAAAACCTTAACAAAAAAAAGCACAAACTAGGAAGGGGTTAGAGTACCTGCCTTGCCTAGCATGAACACAGCACCAAGAGTAAAACAGCACATCTACTCCCACAAGAACACTAAGAAACATAGAAATTTGAGTGAAATATAGTAAACATAATATACAGCTGTCAAACATAGAGATATACATCAAATTGGGAAAAAATCCAAGAATAATGATTATACGGGAGCTGTAAAAGGTAAGAAAATAAAACAGATCGTTAAGTTCAAAGTCTATATATATATATTTTGGGTCCGGTCGTGGGGCCTGAACTCTGGGCCTGGGCACTGTCCCTCAGCTCTTCAGCTCAACGCTAGCGCTCTACCACTTGAGCCACAACATCACTTCCAGCTTTTTTCTTTTTGCTTATGTGGCGCTGAGGAATCAAACCCAGAGCCTCAGGCATGCAAGGCAAGCACTCTACCACTGAGCCACCTTCCCAGCCCCAAAGTCTATATTTTTAAGTACCAATGGTATGTTGTGACTTTTTTTAATCTCACAAAATTGAGAGTACCTATTAAAATAAGTCCATGGTAGCTGGGATGTGGCTTAGTAGTAGAGTTCTCGCCTTTCATACATGAAGCCCTGGGTTTGATTCCTCAGTACCACATACACAGAAAAAGCTGAAGCGGCACCGTGGCTCAAGTGGTAGAGTGCTAACTTTGAGCAAAAGAAGCTCAGGGACAGTGCCCAGGCCTTGAGTTCAAGCCCCAGGACTGGCAAAAAAAAAAAAAAAGCCCATGGTTTGCATGCTTCTACAACCAAAAAATGGAGGAAACCCTCAGATTCATATCACCTCTAGCCCAGGCTCAATCATACACACGCAGAAAGGGCCAAACTCAAGAGAAGACAGCCCCACAACCATCCACATTCTGAGAGTCTGTCCAATGAGAGTGGGAGGACCAACAGGAATGAAAGAGGTACATATGCATCCAGACACTGAGTTCCCCAAAAAACTCAGGCCAGGACACTTGCCAGTGCCAGCCTCTCTTCTCCCTTACTCCAGTTCAAAATAATCTCAACTGCCACACTTCCAAAACTGTAGGTTTGCACCCCAATTTTTATGAACAAATACAGCCAGATTCACAATGGTTTGGTAACATGGGCATGCTGGTGCCAGGGGGCAGAGTAAAAGAGGGCAGCAAGGGGGCTGGGAAGGTGGCTCAGTGGTATAGCACTTGCCTCGCATACATGAGGCCCTGAGTTTGATTCCTCAGCACCACATCAACAGAAAAAGCCAGAAGTGGCGCTGTGGCTGAAGTGCTAGAGCAATAGCTGTGGGCTGAAGAGCTGAGGGACAGCACCCAGGCCCAGAGTTAAAGCCCCACGACCAAAAACAACCAAAAAAAAAGGGGGGGCAACAGGGTTAACCAGCATACACATACATACATACATACACACACACAGCATACACATATACACATACATACATACACACACACACACACAAAATCTTTTTCAAACTGAATTGGTATCTGAAAAATGGTGATGCAAAAGGCTAGGGTAGAAGGGATGCATTCTAGAACATTCTACAGACAAGCAGTTCTCTTTTGCAAAGGAGAAAAACTGTCTTTTCAGAAATGGGTGAGAAGTAGCCCAGACTACAAAGGGAAGAAAAATAGCACACGGAGGCGGCCTCACTGGCCACACATCATAGAGCATGGTAACCCCACCATGAGCAACATCACAGGTGCCACTGGGGATTTCAGAGGAGACACAGGGCTAGCAGGTTCACATCCATCTTTTCTACAAGGCTTGCGGTGGCGGAAGAGAAGGGAGAAATAGACAGCAGGACACCTAACTGCAAGGCTAAAGTCCAAGCAAAGCTGGCTGAGCTTGGTGGTACATGCCTAAATCCCAGCACTCAGGAGGCTAAGGCAGAAGGATTACAAGTTCAAGGTGGAACTGAGTAAGTTCTTGTCTTTAAAAATAGAAAAAGTGAGGCTGGGAAGGTGGCTCAGTGGTAGAGCGCTTGCCTTGCATGTTTGAGGCCCTGGGTTCGATGGTACCACATAAGCAAAAAGAAAAAA